ATAACGCAACCATGAGAAGAACACAGAACCAGCTTGAAGCGGAAATCACCTTTCTTAAGGACCAAATTAAAGCCCTCTGGGAAACAATACAACTGCCGCCGGAAACAACTAAGACGTCGAGCCAGACCTCTGGTGAAGAAATGGACGACAAATTCAATGATAGCACAAAGAATAAAGCTGCCATTCCTACATCAAACGACAACCAATGGTCAGAAGATGAGATACTACTTGTTAATCTTCCAACATCAAACTCTTTCTCCCCTTCAAGATCTACCAGAAAACCCGCCAAGAAAAGAACCACAAAACAAACCTGTAGACACTAATTCGCAGCACCCTCCTAAGTCTCCTGCTACCAACGACACCAATAATTCTAATGAAGTGATCTTTCTATGTGATTCAAATGGAAAGTTTTTAAACATGGAAAAAATGTTTCCTTCAGACCAGGAAGTGAAGTATGTTAGAACTCCACTGATTGAACACGCTAGATCGTACTTACAAAGTCAAATCCACACTGCTCCCCGACTACTCATATTACACACAGGAACAAACGATCTAGAAAGAACCAGTTCTCCTGAAGATCTTATTTCTAACATCTTAATATTGATTACAGAAGCCTCAACGAAATTTCCTTCAAGCAAAATATTCTACTCAACACTTCTTCCCCGCAGCGACATCCCGACACCAATAATAACTTCAATAAACAATCAGTTGATCAGTAGCTGCTCAAGATTACCCAATGTGCAGTTAGTCAAACATGACAACCTCTTTGAGAATCAATCAAATATTCTTTACGATCAGAAACATATTCTTAAACGGTACGTAAAATTTTTTCGCCAAAAACCTTAAGGACACAATTCGCGGTCGTGCCAGACCAAAACCTACAGTTCCTTCTAATACAATGCCAGCCCAAAGACAAAGATCCTCACAAACTCAACCGACTTCTTCCCAAGGTCCCAAGCCACTATTACATCACACATCATACAGCAATGCCGTAAAGAACACACCACCTCAAGTGCCTCGTTGGCCTCACCTTCTTCAAACTCAACCTCCGCCGTTACCATTTGTCACACCACAACTTCCACAACGAATACCTCCAACACCATTGCAAAATTCACTACACCATGAACCAAATGCCTCAAATAAAGCATTCCAGCTTCCTATGCAAACCCTGCCGGACCAGATACTCCCAGCTCCGCCACCAACTATATCGCATCAATACTCCAAAACACCGCATCAAACGTTTCCACAGGCCGCTAAAATGGAAACCGCAGGTGAAGAAACTCGCCCCTCCAACAAATTAACGGATTCAGCAATGCCTCAGGAAATCATATCCTTTCTTCGTTTTATAAAATCATTTGTATGAACAATTTCATCTTACCCTTGACACTGAATTAAGTATTAATGATAAACTTTATACCAGTATAAAGAGTAATCCATTTATTATTTTCTATACAATCACGGACACCGAAGATAGTCCCGATATTTCAAGCACATTGTCCTTTTGCGCTTGGAATATTAATGGCCTTTCTTCGAAATATCTTGGAAATAAGTTAGATAATGCTGATTTTTTGAGTGTTATTAATAACTCCGATTTTATATTGTTAACAGAAATTGGCAACTGCTCTAATCTGGAAATTGCGGGATACAAATCCTTTTTTCAATGTCCCACACCAAATCAGTCGGGGAGAGGTGGGCGTAACTCCGGAGGAATCGCTTTATTTTATAAGAACAAATTCCACAAAAACATTTCCATCACTAAAACAACTCAGCATTTTATTTGGTTTAAAATTGAGAATCGTTTTCTAAATTCAGTGAAGAATATTTACGTCTGTGGTGTCTATATACCCCCTCGTAACTCAAAATACTTTGATAACGAAATTTTTGATCAGCTAGAACAAGACATAGTACGTTTTTCTTCGAAAGGATCAATAATTCTCATGGGTGACTTTAACTCGAGAACAGGGAAATACTCTGATACTGTCTCAAAGGAGGGAAACAGTAGAATTAGTAATGATCAGTCGGAATCTGCTTTCCAGCCAACTCAAAGAAACAGTTTTGATAATGTTTTAAATAGCCATGGGAAACGGCTGTTGGAAATTTGTAAAACCTTTGACCTAAGAATAGTTAATGGCAGAGTTAATGGAGATACCCTAGGCAGACCCACTTTTCATGGAAAAAACGGAACGAGCGTTATTGATTATCTAATATGTGATCAGTGTACATTTCTCAACGTTGCAAATTTTGTTGTTAAACAGCCATCTAATTTATCGGATCATAGTGCCATCGTGGCATGGCTCAATCTTAACACCAGGTTAATTGGAAACGAAATGCACACTCCCAATAGTAGCAATAGATTATCAAAATTACCACGGCAATTTTGCTGGGAAGTTGACTCACATTTAAAATTCAAAAACGCACTGCGCACGGAACCAATCCAAATTCTAATTAGACAATATATGGAGAGAAACACCGAAGATGTGAATATCTCCTTAGAAAACGCTATGAAAATTCTAACTGAGAGCTCCAAGCTATGCCTAAAAATTAAAGCTAAGAAAACTTATAAGCGTATTAAGAAATCATCCAACAAGAAATGGTTCGACTGTGAATGTCGCTTAAAAAGGCATGAATTACGAAAAGTCTCAAATGAAAAGCACCGTGACCCCCTCAACTCCGAAGTGCGGGAAAGATATCACAAAACCTTGAATGATTACAAAAAGCTCCTAGGCACAAAGAAAAGAGGATTCCACAAAGAAAACACATTACAACTCGACGAACTAGCTTTAAATCCTGACAAGGCGTCATTTTGGAATTGTTTAAATTCGATGAGCGACACTCTCAACGAAAATGTTCCTACCCCAATCTCTGAAGAATCATGGCTTCACCATTTCAAATCTCTGCATTCTATTGACCCGACGAATTCCACGCATGAACATGAAATCCATAGGGAACTAAATTCGTTAGAACACTAAAAGGAACAGTTTACTTATCTCGATTATGAGATAACTGAGAGGGAAATACGTCAAGCGGCGAAGAAATTGAAAGATAAGAAATCACCATTTGTTGACAAAATACGAAAGGAAATGATCAAAGCAAGCCTTGAACCACTAATGCCTGTCTATGTCAAACTTTTTTAACCTCATTTTACAATCCGGAAAAATGTCAGATGTTTGGTGTCAAGGTCTTATAGCCCCAATTTACGAGTCTGGTGACAAGAGTGACCCAACAAATTACAGAGGCATATGTGATTCTATTTGCCTTGGAAAACTGTTCTGCTCTATCTTAAATCGAAGACTTCACTTGTACTTTGAGGAAAATAAGACATTACATAATTCCAAAATTGTCTTTTTGCCTGAAAATCGCACTGCAGACCATGTTTTCACTCTAAGGACCCTAATAGATAAATATGTGCATTAT